GAGGCCCACAGAAGAACTATTCACAATCATTTTAAGAACTGATGCTTGAAATAGCATTTGATCTCCCCTTTTTACTTTTATTTTACTTCCCGTCTTTCAGATTAGACAAGCCTTAATAATAATAATGATAAAGTTGGAAGGGACCTTGGAGGTCATCTAGTCCAACCCCCTGCTCAGGCAGGAAACCCTATACCATTTCGGACAAATGGCTGTCCAGTCTCTTCTTAAAAACTTCCAATGTTGGAGCATTCACCGCTTCTGGAGGCAGGTGGTTCCACTGGTTAATTGTTCTAACCGTCAGTAAGTTTCTCCTTAGTTCTAGGTTGCTTCTCTCTTTGGTTAGCTTCCACCCGTTGCTCCTTGTCCTGCCTTCAGGCGCTTTGGAAAATAGCTTGACTCCCTCTTCTTTGTGGCAGCCCCTGAGATATTGGAAGACTGCTATCATGTCCCCCCTCGTCCTTCTCTTCGTTAAACTAGACATACCCAATTCCAGCAACCGTTCTTTATATGTTTTAGCCTCCAGTCCCCTAATCATCTTTGTTGCTCTTCTCTGTACTCTTTCTAGAGTTTCAGCATCTTTTTTACATCCTGGTGACCAAAACTGGATGCAGTATTCCAAGTGTGGCCTTACTAAGGCATTTTAAAGTGGTATTAATACTTCACGTGATCTTGATTCTCTCCCTCTGTTAATGCAGCCTAGCACTGTGTGGGCTTTTTTGGCAGCTGCAGCACACTGCTGGCTCATATTTAAATGATTGTCCACTAGGACTCCAAGATCCCTCTCACAGTTACTACTATTGAGCAAGGTACCCCCTATACTATACCTGTACATTTGGTTTTTCTTGCCTAAATGTAGAACCTTACTTTTTTCACCCTTGAATTTCATTTTGTTAGATAGCACCCAGTGTTGAAGTCTGTCCAGATCCTCCTGTATCCCAAGCCTGTCTTCTGGAGTGTTGGCTATTCCTGCCAGCTTGGTGTCGTCTGCAAATTTGATGAGTTCCCCATCTATCCCCTCATCCAGATCGTTGATGAAGATTAATGAAGATGTTGAAGAGCACTGGGCCCAGAACAGAGCCCTGGGGCACCCCACTACACACTTCCCTCCATGTAGATGCGGTCCCATTGAGGACCTTAGACAAGCCACCAGGGAGCTACTGAACTTCATTTCAGAAATAAAGATTTTTGGGTTTTAATTGACTCGCAGATTCAAAGAGTCATAATTCTGTCCGGGATCCAAGTGCAAAGAAGATACTTAACACAATCTCCTAATTTCATTCAGATTGATCATTCAGCAGCAGGCATCTAATCGAAGATGGTCACGCTGACCTTCGATTTACGTTCTGTCAGAATACATTTCCAGGATATATGATGTTTTACTTTGTAAAGATGATACTTTTTCCAGTTAAGGATTAAAGAATTCCTGTGTTATTTTTCCACTGTGTAAAAATCTTCCAAAGAAGCTTAAAATTAGAAATAATCAGAAATGAAAAGAAACAACGACAAAAGATAAAACAGAGAGCAAAAACAGGAGTCTCTGAAAAGCTCCTATCTACCCTGTAATTTATAGTTATACTCTATAATTATATCCTATAATTTATACCCCATCTATCATTTTTCTCTTCAAAGTTGACACTCTAGGTTTTCTTTTCAGAAGGGAAGAAATGTCTTTTTGCACAAAGAATCTGCAGTCCAGTGCACACCTCAAGATTGAGCTTCAGAATGAATACAATGGAATTATTAATTCCCAAGTGAACATTTATTGATCAGCAAAATCAATAAACCTGTTTTGTGCTAACCTTGAGATTATCCCACACAATTCAAAAGAAGAATTATTTAGTCATCAATGTGGCAAAGACAGAAAAAGCTTTAACAAGGAGCAACAGCATTAAGAAACCAAAGAGGTTAGAACAGTCTCCCACCCAAAAATAGCAAGCCACAAACAGGTAGTCCTTGGCTTATGACCGTTTGTTTAATGAAAGTTCAATATTACAACGGCCTTGGAAAAAGTGACTTATGACTAGTACTTACAATTATGACTGTCACATCACCACCACCACCCCAGTTACGCGATTGCAATTCGGGCACGGCAACTAGCTTGCATTTACAACTGGTTGCAACATTCTGCAGTCACATGATCATTTGTGATCTTTTTTACCGATTTCTGGCAAGAAAAAGCCCATTGGGCGAGTTGGATTTGCTCAATGACCATGGTCATTCTCTTAATGACCATGGTGATTCTCTTAACGACCATTGTAAAAACTGCCATAAATTTGGGTCCGACTTGCTTACAATGACAATAGCTCACGATGAAAATGCTGGTCCCAATTGTGATCAAAAGTCAAGGGCTACCCATAAGATCAAAAAATTAGTGGAAAATATTGCCGTGAGAAAACGAAAGGTAACAATATTTTTAATTCAAGATTTCCCCAATATGGATCAGCTGATAGGAATATTCACTATGCTAGCTTAGAAGGATGAAGTGGAACAACACATTTAATAAAAGCAGATAAAGATCTTCGATAGAGATATTTTATACCTACAACATACTGTTGGATTAGCTACCTCAAACTTAGAGGGTTCTTATGACTATTAAAACAGGATACCTCTTACTTTGAGAAGAGGAAACATGAATAAAACAAATGAAAGGGCTTACTTAAAAAAGATGAAGACTTACTGTATTCATGAGGGTTGACTCTGAATTAGCAACCAAAACGAAAACATCGGCATCCAGGCAGAATTTGTCAATCCAGGTGTCAAGCTCTGTGGTGACATCAGTACCTGGACTATGAAATGAGGGAAAGGAGTTATAGATGGCATTTGAAAATGTAGAAAAATATGGAAACACATGACACAATCATACTTAGTAAGATAAATTCTGAATGTGTTTTTGGCCCTACTTAGAACACGAGAACATCATCAGAGTTGGAAGGGGCTTTGAAGGTCTTCTAGTCCAACCCCCTGCTCAAATAGGAGACCATATAGAATTCCAGACAAATGGCTGTCCAGTCTCTTCTTAAAAGCTCCAGTGATAGGGCACCCACAACGTTTGAAGGCAAGCTGTTCCACTGATTAATTGTTCTGTCAGGAAATTTCTGCTTAGTTCCAGGTTGCTTCTCTCCTTAATTAAGTTTCCATCCGTTGCTTCTTGTCCTGCCCTCAGGCGCTTTGGAGAATAGCTTGACTCCCTCTTCTTTGTGGCAGCCCCTGAGATATTGGAACACTGCTATCGTGTCCCCCCTCGTCCTTCTCTTCATTAAACTAGACATACCCAATTCCAGCAACCGTTCTTTATATGTTTTACCTTCCAGTCCCCTAATCATCTTTGTTGCTCCCCTCTGTACTCTTTCTAGTGTCTCAACAAACAAGTCAAGAAGATTTCCATTCATTACAAGTTCCTTTCTTTAGATCCTATGATGAAAAGTTTCTGAACAAGCCAGGACATTAAGCTGCAGTCTAGAGTTGGCTTAACCGCTCAGTCTTTTCGGATGTGTGCTATTTTGTTCATTATATAAAATATTCGCCATCTGAATTTGAATTCTACACATTTATTAGTCTCTGGCATGCTCTTTACAACTACAAATTCATAGTTTTAGTTACTTTTTAAGATTCTATCCCTCTTAAAAATACATCAGGAATTAAAGAACACGCAAATTAGTTCAGGCTGAATGAAGGCCTTATTTGCCCCATGAGTGGCATAGCAGACTAAAACAAAAAACTGAAATTAATTTCTATTATTTGAAATTAAATACAGTGGAAATCATTATTTCTGAAATCATACATTTCTGATACATTAAAAGTTGCCATTTGGCAGCAGGTCCCCTCTAGTGATCATGTGACCTCAGGACAATGCAACTGTCATAAATACATGCCAGTTGCCAAGTGCCTGACCACATGACCATAGAGATGCTGCAACAATCCTAAGTGTAGGGATTGGTCGTACATCACTTTTTCAATGCTGTTCTAAGTTCGAACCGTTGCTAAATGAATGGTGATAAGTCGAGGACTACCTGTATACTCCATATCACAACAATTGATCTTGCTAGAATTTAAGGTCTACTTTGGGTGTGTGTGTGT